TAGAATTTAGATTTTCATTCTCTTCAATTTATATTGAAATCGGTTTAATATTTATAAGATTTTTCATGGATTCAGTCATACTTTTTCCATTGTCTAATCAAACTATTTATTGAGTTTCAATTTCAATTATTTATTGTTGAGATTGGTTTAACAATTATTATATCCTTCATAGATCTAGTCATGTTTTTTCCAATGTTTTGAAAACCGGGAACCGGTCCAAGATTCGGTCCGGTTGGATTTAAATTTACTTTGGTTAAAAACCCGTCTATGAACCCGCCAAACCAGCCAAACCGGCCGAAACCCGTGACCTGGTAGAGGTTCTATTAAACCCGTGAAGGTGAAAACAAAACCCTTATTTTCAATTTCAATTTTCGAAACTCTTCGTCTTTCTCTCCTCTTTAGGGTATTGAACGTATCAATCAAAGGTATTTCTTCCAATTTTCTCTACTTTGTTCTTGATTCCATATTCTAAATCTTGTTCTTCCATTAATGAACTTCTAAAGCAGGTTTTATTGCTTCTAAACGCCTTGTTCTTCTTTTTTCATCGTAATTGTACTCTGTCGGTTTTGGTTTTAATGAACTTCTAAAGCAGGTAATTGTACTCTGTCAGTTTTGTTCTTCTTTTTTCATCATGTTCTTATCCATCGCTTTCTTGTTCAAAGGTTAAATGTATTTCATTAGGCAGCCTATATGGTGGTTCACTACCTCCTTATTTACTGAAAGTTGAAAGTTGCTTCACGTTAAAATGTATTTCAAAGGTTAAAATGTTATTTACTTCAGGTTAAACTTCTATTGTTTCTTGTTGAAAGTTGAAACAATGTATTAGTTTAATAATTATTTTGACTGTACAGGCCATGAATGACTCTCAGGATTAAGCAAGTTGGAAATTCTTGATTTTAGTCTTAATTCCGTTAATGACAGATTGTCTAACTATGGTTCTTTTAATTTCTTTTCTTAGGATGGATGGAAATACTCAATCTTCGGAAAGACAATATATAGGTTCCACACCTAGCCGTGCAAAGACTGATCCTGCTTGGGAACACTTCTCTTCTAGTCGCGATATTGATGGTAAAGTTCTTACACATGTCTTTATTGCAACAATAGTTTTAAGGGTGGGGGAATTAATAGAATGAAATACCATCTTGCTGGAATTAAAGGTCAAATATCTCAATGTAAGAAAGTTCCTTTCGATGTTTGATTTAAATTTCAAGGAGTTCTTAAGGATATATCTCAAAAGAAACAAGATGCTAAAGAGGCTCATGATTGTACTTTTGGGGATAATTATGTAGATTTAGAAATTGGAGGAGAGGAAATAGAAGAGGACATTCAAGAAACACACGTGTCTTTAGAAAAACAAAGGCAAGAAAAGGGGAAGAGGAAAGCTAGTGACAAGATTGAAACATATTTTGCTCCAAGGACTACCCCTGGATCTCAGCCTGGTATAAAGAGTGTTTTAGCTGGTAAACAAGCAATAAAGAGAGCTCAT